ATATATTGAGGAGATATATATATTGTGTGTATATATATCTCCTCAATATATGTTCCATTCTATATGCATCCGAAGAAGTGGGCTGTAGTCCACGAAAGCTTATGCTCTAATAAATTTGTTAGTCTCTAAGGTGCCACAAGTACTCCTGTTCTTCTATCTGAGTATAATCATTTTAATATGAATCTGGCAAACCTCTTCCACTTGGAGGGGGGAGGGGGGGATTTCCACATTCTGTAGAGTAAAACGTCAGCTGTTCAAAGGCAATAACTAGAGCCAAGGCAGGTTAAAATGCATTTCAATCTTACTGCTGGGACTTGGCTTTGGCTCGCATCAGATGCATTTATTTATCATCACAGGTCAGGCCTCTGTGTTTATGCCTTTTTAAAAACTTTTTTAAAGCAGCAGAATGCGCAGCAAGGTAGCTGCTTCACCAAGAGGCAGGAAAGGGGCGGGGGGAGGGCGGGAATAAAACGAGCTAGTGGGGGAGGGGAGGAAGAGAAGGAAAAAATGGCTACAAACTTTATTTAGTCCCTCCCACCCCCACACTAAGAATCTTTTCCCAATATTCCATGACTTTTGGGATGCAGTCTGTAGAGCAACAGTTTAACTCCAGTGATGTAAATACACGTGTAGGTGGCCACATTATTGAAACTTTGTCAAAACAACCTAAACACATTTGTAGTTTTGTGGTGACAGCTGATGAATGTTGGTATCCTTCGTTGTAATAGCTAAATTAGCTTTCTATTTTGCAATTAGAACCAGAATTTTATGCTGAATTAACACAATTATTATATGGGCTTTATTTACATCTACACTAGCACTTATGTCAGCCAAACGTTTGTTGCTCGGTGGGGAATGCTCTCCTGCGGACGTAGCTACCGCTGCTCATTGAACTGGTTTTATTATGTCTATGGGAGAGCTCTCTCCCATCGGCATAACGCAGCTACATGAGCGCTCTTACAACAGTACAACTGTGCTGCTGGAAGCTTGTATGTGTAGACATAGCCTAAGTGGCAGGCTGTATTTAGCACCATTAGTTATTGCAATCATGTGTAGACAATTAAAGGCCTGTATACTCCTACTTATATAGGAGTATAACTATATATATGTATAACTATTATGTATTCTATACTCACGCTGTTATCTTTTGTTGCTTCCTGTTTGGAGTATGAAAAGTTTTTTTTGAAACCCTGCAAGTTATATCTGGCAGCATTTTAACAGCCTAAGAAGATGGCTTAGCAATGAAGGAAGAGCTGGCTAGCTTTAATCAGTAGAAATAGACATTGATCTAATCTCCACTGTTCACTGAGATCTTTCTTCCACTCCTTAAATGGCTTTAGTCTGGCACTAGCATCTTATAATTCTGAAACAATTTAGCCCTTTGTCAAATCAGTGCTAATGGACTTATTCCTTTACACAACATGTAACAAACTAAGGGTGGGGAGTAGCATAACTATACAAAACATTAAGACTATAGTGGAATTAACACTGAAATCTCTGTATTCATGGTGTACTGAGCTGGTGGGTCTTTACACTAGAGTAACATAGCTTGGATTTGATATCCTGGAACTACTATATTGTTTCGAACTAACTTAATATTCAGGGGTATGGAGCATAGTATACTTCTGAAATGTGAATACTGAATCATGTAACTTCTGATTAAACTTGAGTTACCTGGGGCCATGACTTATCAGCTAAGCAGTTCCAGATGAAAGCTGCTTCGGAGGTGCTTCATAACAACTTTTCCTGTCTTTCAGCTTTATCTTCAGGCCAGAATGAAAGGAGATTGGGCAAGACTTGTACGTCCCACAGTGCAATTTGGTCTCATTGCCGCATCTATCTACGTGGGTCTCTCCCGTGTTTCTGATTACAAACATCACTGGAGTGATGTGTTGACTGGACTCCTTCAGGGAGCGGTGGTAGCTGTGCTCATCGTAAGTTCATAAGTAGTTCACTAAGCCCGAATCAAAACTATTTTAAAAGTAGGTTTCATGCCAAGTGTGGTAAGCCTAGGCTTTGTTCAGGGGGAAATGTACAGACTTTCCACATGCTGTGAAAAGTAGCAGGGTTGGGGGAGGGAATAGAAGAAAACGTGTACAGAATTAGATCACATTATTACCACCATAGAATGTAGAAGCCCTAGTAATGGACTGGGAACCTAGCTGTGTTAGCCTCTGTACAGAGTGTAAGATCTTTGGGGCAGGAACAATCTATTTGGTTTAAGACAGATGAATACAGACAGGGGAGTACCAGGAAACCATGAGAGTGTACTGGCCAGTCGGATAAGCAGTGATCTCAACACACCAGCACTGTAACTGTTAAATTTTTTGTAGGCTTAATGGGAAAGGAGGTTTAAAGATTAATTTGAAGGAGGATTAGGTAGTTCCCCCTTCAGGGAGCTCCTCCCAAGTACAAGGGGCAGCATGGGAGAGAGCATGAAGGTGCCTGTTTGAAAATTTAACGAGCGAGTAATGGAGGATAGCATCATGGGTAGATCAGAGGCAAGTGTTGTCACCTCAGTCATGAATGAGAGATGACAGGTAGGGTGGTGATAGGCAGTGAAGGGCTTTGAAAATGAGGACAAATAGGGGTGACAAAGCCAAAGTGACAGGCTAGGAAAACTATTTTTGCAGGAGCATTCTGACTTGAGTGTATAGAGGAAGGCTGTGTTTGTCAAGACCAGAAAAAAGGATGTTCCTGTAATGGACATGATGAGTCTTAGCTGTATGGAGAGATAGGAAAGACCATATCTTAGATGTTCTGTAGAAAGAATCGGCAAGATTTAAACATAGCCTGGATATCGGGACCTAGAGAGAGGTCAGAGTTGACGGGGATGTCCAGGTTGTGGGCCTGAGTGACAGACATGATAGTGGTGTTGTCCCGTGCTTAGGTGAGGAGGGAAGCGCAGGAGAGGAGATTCAGAGCTGTTAGTCATGTTGAGCTTGATCCACAAGATGTGCGAGACGGGTAGAGATTTTAGTATGGAAGGCAGGCTTGGAAAAAAAGGGTAGATCTGAGTTGTCAGCAGAGAGATTACCCAGAAATATGGTGTAAAGGGGACGAAGGACAGAGCCCCGTGGAAAGCTGGGGGGAGGAGGATCCCCAAAGGACTTATAGGGGACAGCTAGGGGTCACCAAATGAAATTAATAGGCAGCAGGTTTAAAACAAATTAAAGGAAGTGTTTCTTCACACAACGCAGAGTCAAGCTCTGGCACTCCTTTTCAGAGGATGTTGTGAAGGCCAAGACCATAACAGGGTTCAAAAAAGAACTAGATAAATTCATGGAGGATAGGTCCATCAATGGCTATTAGCCAGGATGGGCAGGAATGGTGGCCCTAGCCTCTGTTTGCCAGAAGCTGGGAATGAGTGACAGGGAAAGGATCACTTGATTACCTGTTCTGTTCATTCTCTCTGGGGCACCTGGCACTGGCCACTGTTGGAAGACAGGATACTGGGCTAGATGGATCTTTGGTCTGACCCAGTAGGGTCATTCTTAGGACATTGATGAGAGCAATTTGAGAGGTCAGAGGAGAAGCGGGAGGACATTCATGGAAGCCAAGAGAGGACAATATTTCAAGAGGAGTACAGTCAGTTTGAAAGGTGGTTGACAGGTCAAGGATGAGGATGGAGTACTGCTGCTGCAACTGACATGGCTAGAAAAGGGTGAGTAAAGACTTAATGCAGTTTCAGGGGCGTGTGCAAGGGGCAGAAGCTGTATTTTAGAGGGTCTAAGATTGAATTGGAGGAGGAGAATGACAGTGATTTTTAACAGGTGTGCTCAATGAGGTTAGAGATTAGAAGGAGAAGGGTCGGTAGCTGAAGAGGTAAGTGGGGTCAAGGGTGGGTTTAAGATGAGAGAGACTAAAGCAGGTTTCTATTGTGATGGGAAAGAGCCAGAAAAGAGGAGATGTATAAGTAAGGGAGGGGATGAATGGTAGAAAGGAGAGCAAGAGCTGGCATTGGGTTATTTGGGACAAGTGGAGGGGTTAAGAGAAGGCAGGAAGGAAGATCATGTCTTTTTAAAAATTTTCTCTTGGTAGAAATCTGTAAGACCCTTTGCAGAGAGAAGAGGGGAAGGTTTGAGTCAGTCAAGGGTGGTGAAAATGTGGCTGGGATTGAGGACATGAGATTCAATTAAGCTGGAGAAGTACAGGTGTTACTAGGCCAATGTGAAGGAGTAGAAAAATTGTTGAGGAGGAAGTCAGGGGATGGGGCAGATGTCAGAGGCAAGGAGATTTGTGCTGGTTGGGAATTGGTGAGGGGAGAGGGCAGAATGGATAACTTTAATTTTGTTTAAATGTCAATTTTATGTTGAGGCCTAAATTTACTATAATCTAGCATTAAATTAAACGGACAACATTCAAGCATTACATGTGACGTTTTAAAGAAAGGCCAACTACTGAATTGCTGGAAGGCACTGGTTAAGCTCCTGGAAGCAGAGTTTGGAGTGCTGAACTAGCTTTTGGATAACCGTAGCCTCTTCTACCTGGTCAGAGAATATTTCCTCTTCAGTTTATTCAGCTACTGTAGCTTATTCAAAGTTGAGAATCTGACTGGGAGTCAGATTTGCTTGTTTTCCCTTTACATTCCTTTTTCATTCATAAAGGAACAGAATGAGGCCTTCCAGTGCTAAAATCTTGGATATAGAATCATAGAACTGGAAGGGACCTCGAGAGGTCATCTAGTCCAGTCCCCTGCAGGAGTTTGTCCAACCTGTTCTTAAAAATCCCCAATGATGGAGATTCCATCACCTCCCTGGGCAATTTATTCCAGTGCTTAACCACTCTGACAGTCAGGAAGTTTTCCCTAATGTCAACCTAAACTGTCCCTACTGCAATTTAAGCCCATTGCTTCTTGTCCTATCCTCAGAGGTTAAGATCAACAATTTTTCTACCTCCTTCTTGTAACAACCTTTTATGTACTTTAAAATCTGTTACCATGTCCCTGTCTTGTCTTCTCTTCTCCAGACTAAACAAACCCAATTTTTCAATATTCCCTCATAGGCCTTGTTTCTAGGCCTTTAATTGTTTTTTGTTGGTGACCAGAAACATAGTTCAGTTCACTGCTAGGGGTAATATGTTGTTTAATTGTTTTTAAATGATTTGTCAAGCCATCAGTAAAAAGTTAATCTTCCTCTAGAAAATAAGAAATAGTTGCCATTTTCTACCGTGTAAAAATTAAGGCTCTGAAATGCATGTTAAACTGTGCTAGCTTAACTGGTTTTCCTGGCAGGATGACTTTCACTGGTTGTCTTTCTTTAGAAAAATAAAGTACAAGTACAAAACAAGATAATAATCTAGATCATGATTTCCTACTTGATTTAAATCAGTCCACCCTGGGTCAGTATAATGGAGCTAGACAGGGGGAAAGAGGGGTGGTAAGAGCTATAAGTGAATGGCAGATGGACAGAATTATATAAAATTTGAAAAACCCTGTGAAGGGAAGCTGGAACCAGGTCTGCTGCTGGACAGCTAGAGAGGGAAGGTGGCTGGTATAGGGCAGCAGGAGGCTCTGGACTATTTCTGGTTGTCAAAGACTTTAGAACTAGTAAATTTCATCCTTCCACCTAGCTTTTATTCATAGCTTGGAAGAGGACAACACTCTTTCCTGGTTCCTCAACTTTGAACTAAAATGAAGAAAATACTCTGTACCTGTAGAAGAGGCTACTTCTGTCAAACACTAGGTTTAGCACTTTGGTTCCAGGGTTAGGGTTAGCCAGTGCTTTCCAGCAGTTCAGTGTTTGTTTGTTAAAATATTAAGCAGCAGATAGTTGCTGCCAGTTTTTAATTCAGTAGATAAACTTACTTTTAACAAACTTTGTCAATTTCAAATACGTTTTGAGTGTGCTGATAGGCTTCTATGAATATTTTGTTCTGCTTGGGTTGAGTGCCCAGTACATAAATGGCATAAAGTTAACCACAGATACTCCTAATGAAGTGTTTATATTATAAAGCAGAATATGTATAACAATTTGCAACTTATTTAAATATAAAATGATAGGAATGCTTTGAACTGTGAACTTGGAAAGCAGCAACACCCACACTGATGCATGCAACTTATACCTTTAGAATGTTCACTCATAAGGAAGGTTGTAGTGATTCTCCAGAAACTAGAGTGTGCCGGATTTGCTTGATTGTATGAAACTGAGGTCAGCCAATTAATAAGTAGACTTTGAGCTAAACTTAATTTCACCATAAATACATACATCCTTTTTTCTATTTTTTACATCCCAAAATACTATAAGGGAAAAGAATGAGCAAGCGGTTACCTGAAATATTAGACTGACCAACTACCAGAAAATCTGAGCTTTAATGTAAAGAGCTCTTGTAGTCACTTTTCCTCTCAGAACCAGTTAATTTAGTGCCCTAGCACCACATACCACTACACAAGACCAATGCCAAATGCATAAGAACTTACACTGTAGGACGACCTCCTTAATGTGGATAGTTTTAGTTGACAGACAATGGGCATAAGGTTTTACAAGATTCTAACAGTGTATAATTTGTTCACTTAGGTGGTGTACGTATCAGATTTTTTCAAAGTGAGGGGATGTACGTTTAAACCCAAAGAAGAAGATTCGCATACAACTCTCCATGAGACACCAACAAATGGAAATCACTATGGCAGTAATCACCAACCATGAAGAATTGCTGAGCATGATCCTGTGAAGTCTCCTGCTTTCTAAAAGAAAAATGATTTTAATGAGTCTCCCTATGTAAAATAAATAAATGCCTTTAAGGGACTGCTGCTGCTATATCTCTTGGATGCTCACTTTACATGTATATAGTAACATAACAGCATTGTGTATATCTAATAGCTTTAAAAATCTTTAATTCTATTAGTTCAAGCTTACTGCTTATAAAAACACAAATGTAATTTTTTTATTAAAATAACATGGTAACACTTATGTACAAACAGCACTGTGTATGTAATATGCTTTGCTAGAATGCTTCCTGTTTTAAATGCATACACCATTAAATATCTGTCTTGGGGGTGAAGATGGCAAACTGGCCTGATGCCACCAGTCTAAAATTATTCTGCTCCGTGAGCAAGTCTCAGATTGCTCCCAATCCATAATTGTCTTCCAGAAAATAGATTTCTTAGAGGTAGAGGCTTGCAGCAAACACAATATCTCTCTTGATTTTGGTAATTCCTATCAAAGAAAAAAACAGATCAGTATGCCTGTCATACAGGTAGAAGCTGAACTAGACAATATGGTACCTTTAACAGGCCGTGAGACTTGTATAATCTATGTGCACAGTCGAAGTCGTGACTTCAGACTCATGGATAAAGTACAGATAATGCATCTACCCTTCCAAAGGTAGAGTTTCTGCTTTTAAGCAGTTTTAGGCATAAATCTACCAAATATTTATAGGAAAAAAAAGCTAGCTTTTCCTCCTATTGCAACTAAACTCTCTAAAGCCAAGTCAGACTTTCCAGCACCCCTACCTCTCTGTCAACTTGATTCTTTCTATAATGTGTTGAGTGCTTTTATCTCAGATAATGTAGCATTTTCAATAACAATTCAACAGGGAAGAACTTGGCTTAAATATTTTCTTTACAAGCTGAAATGATTTCATTCATAGGCACATGCTTTCACCCCTTCTATTTATAACTATATTCTAAATACATACCTTCCGCAAACTTATTTTCCAGCTCTGTGTTTCCAATGGCCTTTGCTGCTTGACACATCTGTCGGAGCAATTCTTCGAGCCGCCTCATACAACGAATTATGCTACCTAGATAAAAAAATTAAACCTTGTTTTTTTAGCTGTCACTTCATGTAATAGCAACGAGAAAGTTGACTAAATTCATTAGATGACATATCATTAATATAATTACAGGATGTAACTTGAGCTGCTCCACAAAGGATATCCTTAAACTGTACAAGTTCAGGGCTACTTCCTTAAGTACAATGCTTTGGATTTGTAACAAATTCCATTTTAAAACCACTAACTGGCAATTTCTAGAAATGAAAGCTGGAACATGAAGTTTATTGGTAAAGTTAGTTCTTGTGCATGGCCACCTATCTCACTCAGTTGCTCAAGAGTTTTAGAAATCCTGAATATTGCACAAGAAATTTAGCCTATAGTACAGGCACAAAAACTAGAGATGCTCAAAGTATCAATACCTCTTTCTACCCTAGCCCCACATTCCAAAAAACTCCAACCCCATCTAAAGTAACTTTTCTATGGAAAGGTGATTGTCCAGACAATCTTTGCAGCTAGAGAAGAATAAAAGTCATGAACAGCTGAAACACAGATAGCCTTGAAAGGAACAACCAATAGGCATTTTACACACAACTAGCTTTTTTTCCAGAGCCTTTCCTTCACTACCTGAACTGACAGTAGCATTTGTTTTTTATACATGGATTCCATTGCCCCTTAAAATTTGAATAATGGACAATCTGATTCTAAAAGCAATGGGAGATTATTGAGCAGATGAGCTTTGCAGTTAGGTGGCAAAGACTGTGTAGCAGAGAAAGTGAGCTGGCAATGGGACAATGAATAGCGCTAGTGGAGACTGCACTAGATTCTGGTACATGACATGTTCCCCATCCTGTACAGATGTGTAGCATAACTAAGTACATGTAAGCACCGTACTTGAGATACCTAAAATAGAAGGGAGGTAAGTAAGTAGTGTGTGCTATTAGACAATTTTTGCTGCTTTGTTACAATCTAATTTAAAGCTAGTTTATGGTGTGGAAATATCTGTCCAGTATAGATTTCACCTTTGAATAGTTTGACTGTAAACAGCACTGAAGTGATAGCTATATGGAGAACAATAAGCTTCAGTGTAATTTTTCACCCAACTTTCCAGCAGATCATGCATTTACTACATGTAGTGCACTATCTGCTGTGGACGAGCTTCTGTTTGATGAATTTTTTCAGGCAGAGTTGTGACTCCACAGACAACTGACACTATAAAGCAGAAACTGGTCTGTAAGAAGACTGCAGAAGTGACAGTTCAGAGTAATTCATCTCTGCCACCCAGGCCTAAAGACACTCACTCCTCTTTGAAAATAAAGCCCTAATTCTACAATTGTCTATATTCAGTGAAAGCCTGCGCACCTTTGTTTCATTAAGGCATGGGCATGCATATCTACTACAGCAGAAGTAACTCCTATGAGGAGACAGTATCTGTAAAACCGCTTGTCACTATTGTAGGTTAAAAGCCATATGGAGTCAATTACTGAGACAAAGCACAAGTCCAAAATAAGTGAACCATCAGCAGTTCCCCTGAGCATAGCCACGCTGCATTTTGGCAAACATCGACTCAGTTTTCTGGAAGTCCCTGCTCCAGTCTGTTTACAAGAATATAATTCCACCAAGCACCAGCTTACACAGACAGGCTTCGTTATAGCTGGGATTGTTGCAGACAGGCTTTTGTACATTCAAAACAAAGTTGTACACAGCAGCCAGTTATTCCTAAACTTACATTATCTTCCTTTGAAAAAACCCAAGTCAATCTATAAATGTTTAAACAGATTATTGCTTGGCAGTTTTCCTTTTCAAAACTCTAGGTCCCTTTTCTGTCCCCCCCACCCCTACCCCACTATGGCTTGTAAGTATAAAACCCTGTCATGGCCACTTTACTTCTGATTGATAGGCACTGGGTTGATTTCTATTCACAAATCAATGCTGCTGCTATTAGCAAGAAACCTTTCTTTGGGAACGATGCACAACACTCCACCCCCCATTTTGGAAACAGCTTCCTGCACTCAAAGGCTCAGGCTGCAACAGGAACATTAGGAGCCGCAGTTGGCAGCTGTAATGCAGAAGGCCAGAGTTGCTCAGAAGTGTTTTCCAAAATCTATTTCAGATTTGATAAAACTTGTTCAAACACCAGGCAGGTTTCCACTGGAAACCTGCGAGTGTTCCAGCATCTGCAACCCGTGGCAGGGAGCCTGCCAGCCACTGGAGCACTGGCAGGAGTCAGGCATTCAGTTTATAGTGAAGGAAAAGCTCTGGAAAAAGAGCGAATTGTGTGTAAAATGCCTAGTGGTTGTTTCCTTCAAGGCTGTTCATGGCTTTTATTCCATTTTATACATATCTAGCTGTAAAAATTGTTTGGAGGCGTGACAATCACCCTTCCATAGAAAAGTTTCTTTTGAGGGGGTTGCTATGGTAGTAGGGGGTAGTGATATTTTGAGCATCTCTAGCTATTGTGCCTGTAGTACAAGCTAGATTTCTTGTGGCTCAGGTCTCTGGTAGCCCTGGGGAGTCCCAACCCCAGGACAGTCTGCATGGCAGGGCTGCCACAGAACCTGGGAGCCCTGGCGGCAGATCACTCAAACTGACACTCAGTTCCATTTATCCCCCCCCCCCCACACACCATATTTCACTATTTCCAAAATGACATTTTTGTCTTTCTGAAAAGTTTCCACAAATTTGGTTTTATTCCAATGGGGAATTAACCCAACTTCTGAAAATCCAAAAATTTTGACCACCTCCAAAAGGGGTGTGTGGGGAGGAGATCAATTTGGTTTTCTGTTTTTACCACCATCACTGTTAAAAATGTCCAACCCCTATCGACCCTACAGCTTCCCTCATTGCTACCGTTGGCAATGGAGCTATACTGCTGAGGAGTTGCAAAGCTCAATTTTTCTACCAGAGATCCTGCCCTGGTGCCTGCTGGTCCAGAGCACAAAAAACCTGGAGCAGGATGTAGTTGTCTACCATGTAATAGTGAAGAAGATACCTACTAAACAAGCCCTTCCTCTAGCCACTTGCTGTGAAGAAAAAAGGGAGGAAAAAAACAGGGGGGTAGTATCCAAAACATCATTTTGCAGCATTTTAACTCAGTACAATTTGGTGTTTTTGTAATAATGAGGAACAAATTAAGTATGCAAATGTTTAAGCTCTTCCCTTCCCCCCAGAATGTCAGATCTTCACGTCAACCCCTGCCCACAATACAAAGGGGAACAGAAGGTATTAATCCTGGCCTCAGTGCCAAAGGCTTCCACTCCCTCTCGTAGGTGCCAAATGCCTCCTACCACCATGCCAAAGTTTCTAGTTCTCACCCCATCCTATCCCACCATACTACGTGTTGCTTTCAGTGTGGAAGAGAATCTTGTAGTATGGGGGCAGTATTAAATTAGAAAGAGTTAGGGTTTGTCCAGACAAAATAGTGCGAGGCACGCCAGGGCGTAAATCTACAGCTCACTAGCAGGCCATGCTCTGTCTATGTGAACATTGCTAACATGCACTAAAAGTTCCCTCATATACACAGACCTACTGCCAACGTCTAGACAAGCCCTTCAATGGAGACTTGTATTTAATATCACAATAACCACAGTGTTCCTCATTTTATTATTCATTTTCATATTCAATTCAATAAAAGCTTGTTTTTTTAATTTACTTGAAACCCCTATATCAATGTACCACAGAATTCAGTGCCACTATGCTGCAGAAACTCAGGTACTTTGATATAAAATGTAGGTGCAGCGTGGTACAAAGTCCACAATGGTCTATCTGGGTAAATCCTCAGTTAGCATTTATTTTTGGACAATTCTGCAGGAATTGTCTCCTTTTACAAACCCCCTTAAGGGAAGAATCATGCATCTTCACCCTCACAAAAGATGAAAGATAGACCCGTAAGTTTAGAGGAAAAGTCTGCTGGCTCCACCACTGCAAAGAATGACCAGAAGGCTAGAATAATAGCTAACAGCCTGGGCTGTGACTCTGTTCCCCATGTGCAGCCAGCAGTCCTCTTATTCACAACATAGGCAGTATGTAACAAATGGGAAAATGGTATTTTTAATTTGTGTGTGGCCTATTCAGCCAAGAGTGAACTGGGAAACACAGGAAGAACAGCTAGGTGGGAGTAGCTCTTGATTTCCATCATCTGTTTCCTTCCCTATTCCTTTGGAGCGTATCTCCAAGGGATACAATTTCTTTCAGTGGTCAGAAAGGCAGCCTCTCAATAGGAGGAATCTGCTGAGTCCAGAAGTACTGATTGCCAGGTTTTCTGTTGGTCACAGGAAACCTAGCTTAGTAGGTTTTTGGCAC